GTCAGCTTGGATTCACCCTCCTCCTCCACCACTACCTCCTCCATGCCTCTCGGCCTCTACCGCCTCCTCTTCTTCTGCTCAAACCCTCACCCCCCACCTACACTTCCCAGGCCTGGCCGCCTCTCATCTGCTCTTTCTCTTTTCTTCTGTTTGTCCTTCATTTTCTTTGCTGTCTTGTTTTGTCATCCTCATTTGCCCCGTCGTCCAACTTCTAAAAGTTAAAATGCTTTAATGACCCAGCTAACGGACAAAATAAGTTCTTTGCTGACTGTGAAGAGGAAGAGAGACACTCCACCTTGCAACAAAACGTGCAAAAGTGGTCACATGATTAGTCACATGTGTTTGAGCAGGTAGAGACAAGGATTTCCCCTTTGATGTGTTTTGTTAACTGGTAAATGAACTGGTAATAGAAAAGCGCCATTTAAGAACCAGTTCTTAAATGGCGCTTTTCTACTCTACTACTGCTTGAGCACTCAGAGCACTTTATACTACCAGCCTCATTCACCCATTCAGACACAAACATTCAACCATGCACTTCTAATGCTTTGTATCTAACATTCACACTCCAGTGAACACATCAGGAGCAAATTGCAGTTCAGTATCTTGCCCAAGAATACTTTGGTATGTAAACCAACAACTTCCTGCTGGCAGATGAACTGCGCCAGCTTTATTTGATCTATTTTATTATTGATTAACATAAAATGGGAAATCAACAATAGACTGAAATATTTTTACTTATTATATCTATTTATTGTATGTATAAACAATGGAGGAATGAAATTATGTTGTTAGCAGGACAGAATATATTAAATAACGTATAAGAACCAGTATAACAACAGTTCAAACGAAATAAAATTAGAACATGTCTGTTAACACGGTTAGCTCGTTAATGAGTTGATGCCACGCATCGGGCGATCCGCAGTAACGGTTATGGTGTTAACTTCATTTTAACGAGATTAACGCTGACAGCACTAGTTTGTTGTTGGGTTTTGGGTTTTTTTACAAGTTGCATGCCATGAAACATTTACATGAAATGAAAAATGTAGACAAAACCACAATTTTCCCAACTAAAAATTACACTTTGCTTGAAGTATTTCTACATCCACATGTCTGAAATTCTTTATGCTTCCTGCTGATGTCTATTTCTATTGAGAGACCATGATTGCTCATATTTAAGAGCAGTTAATCAGTTTGAAATCAGATAAATAGTTTATTTTTATAAAGCAAAAGATTGGCAGATTTGTGCATGTATATAGTAAACAACTGGTTGGCGTTGCTCAACATGAAGAGTGAGCTGAAAACATGATGTCTGAATGAACCAAATCAACCAATCAGTACCTTTGAAGCAGAGCAAGGCTCTTTTTCTTCACTTGGACTCCTTCTGAATCTCCGCTGGCTGCCTTGGCGAAAACTCAACAGGAGAACCTCTCCTGTACCTGTCATGTTATCAAAAAACTGACAACTAATGTATTGCTGCTCAGTGTACATCGAGACACAAGAGGTAAAATTGATAGGTTACACAATTAATACTGATCATCTTTTTATTAAGCAAAGCTCTGCTGGGAATCCTTAGGTCCTGGTGGGGATTTTACTTTGCCATACGTTTCTGTCTTAACAATGCTGTTGCCCTGGGATGCCCCCTTCATGAATGTGTGTGCAAATGGGTGAGTGTGGCTTGTGGTGTAAAGTGCTTTGAGTGCTCAATAAAACTAGAAAATTGCCAGTCCACATGCCTTTCTCTTGAGAGGGATAATGCACCCTAAGACATGCAAAAAAAAGGCAGAACCGCTCAGGGTCGGCATGAGGAAAACAAGGTGTTGTTTTGAAACTCCTCAGATCCAAATCTGATCGATCATCCTCTGGATGCAGTGGAGTGACCCAAATGGGCCCTGTCTGTCTGTGTATAAACCCTATCTTGTTGGATGGGTTGCCAGATTTCCTATATCCATGCCCAGATTGATTGGTGATATTATAGCAGCACGAGGAGGACCAACAACAACAACAGGTTTTTAAGTAATGACTGATCAGTAGATGTTGCTCCTTCTCTCTGTCTTTTGGAGCCACACCTACCTTTGCTTACTCTTTTTTCTTGAAAAGCTGACACTGCAGCCTGAGCGGCACACAAACATGGAAGAAAGTACTTACATCAGTGACATCAGAAGTCAGAGGAATGTAGTTCTGGTGCGACACTAACAGCTAAATAACTCTTGGCATGGCCTCCCTCACGATCTTCAGGGGGAACGCAGGGGAAGGGTGGGGGGACTCCAAATGGCCAGAACAAATTAAAAAGCCAACCTGCTATTTTACTGTTCAGATCTGTTGATGCTATAAAGCAGGAAAAATAGGCTTGGCCGCCTTTACGTGACTACTCGGCTGATTTTACGTGATTTTCCTCAGGCCCTGAATCTAAGCCCTTTTGGCACAACATGCTATGCCTTGACCAAGCATGGGACCTTTAAATGCACCAATAAATATTTTTTAGCACTTTATTTAATTCCATGCCCTGGGCCAACAGCATCTCAAAGTATGTCACTCAGCAACAACAGTGAGGAGGAGAAAAAAAAGGACCCTAAAGGGTAAACAGGGTGTAATGTAGATTTAATTAACAACCTAAGCACAGCGTCTCTCACTCACTTGCTCACACACACGCACACACACATGCACACACACACACCACATGAAGGCTTAAATATACTGTAACAGACACAAGTTGCACATAAACTTTATCAAACACATAACTTTAGGTTAATGGCTTCATATTCACACACACACACACACACACACACACACACACACACACCTTCAAGTCTTTGAGCCACACATCCCTGGGTTTACAGCAATGGTGTGAAAATATGTGAGTGTAAATGAGATGCAGACAGGCTCACAGCAGTGAACCCAGCAAAGAGAGAGAATAAGAGGATGTGGCTTGGCTTTGAATTGCTAAACTAAAGTTTGAGGAGATGGAAAGAGTCATATTTTGAATTCTATGCATACTGATCATCTTTGAGCAACAGAGTGTAAACGGAGCCGAACATTTTTCTTCTGCCGGTAATTCAAGATTACATTTTTTAAATATTAAAAAATATGCACTGATCCCTTTTTCCTATGTAGCTCAAAAAGCAGGAATGTGTGGAAAGCATTCAAAGTGTCTTTACAGAAATATTTAGTCACAAAGAGCAGTTCTGTATTTAAAATATACTTGGCTATATGCATGTTTTATAAGTAAAATGTGTCACAAAAGTTACTCAAGAATAACTGAAGGAACAATTACAAGCTGTCTCTGATTTATTTTCAGAAACAAACTCACTATAAAACCTGTTTAGTGACTCATTAGCTTGATAAAATGAAGCAAAATAATAATAATAATAATAATGATTACTTAAAGAATATTTATAACATTTGTGTGACATGAGGTCCTGTTTTATTTATCTAGTTTGTACTAGTGAAAGTCCGTTACATATGTAACGGAGAGGAGCGATAGTCTCTAACTCGGAGAACCAAGGTTACAATGTAACCGTACATTTAACAAAGTTTGAAGTTGCTAGTTTGCAAGTTCTGTGAGGATGTCCTTGTGTTAACACGTGAGATAGAATACCATATTGATTTCATGTTAATAATACAATATACAAATAATCCAGTAACTCTGTTACACTTTATACAATAGGGGGATGAAAAAACACTAGTAATTAGTAAAAAGTTAAAAGTAATTATTAGTTACTAGTCAACACCACAGCGTGTGGCTACCAAGGCATAAAATTAAAGGAGAAAAAAAAAACATACATTAAAGATAAGCTAAATTTGAATGATAATATGTTATTTATAGCTGTTATGGTAATATTGCTATCGTAACTTATTTTAGGCTAAATACTGTCAAGTGAAGCTCTGATACCTTAATAGTGCCTAATTACTATCTTTGGTTTTGTGCATTAAAATGATTGCATTACATCCACTGAAATACCATATACACTCACCAGCCACTGTACTATGCACACCTGTGCTAGTACTGGGTTGGACCCAATTTTACCTTAAGAAGTGCCTGAGTTCATGAATTCAGCTAGAAACATTCATTAGAAATTTTGCTCCATATTGACATGATTGTGTCACACAGTTACTCCACATTTAAACAATCCACAGTTGTTACTAAGTGACCCGAAGTATTCACATCATTACACTGACCACTGATATAAGGCAGAATGGATCCATGCTTTCATGTTGTTCTCATCAAATTTTGACCCTACCAACCAAATGTCACAGCTAAAATTTACCTCATCAGACCAGGCAACATTTTTCTTCAGTTGTCCAAGTTTGGTGAGTCAGCGTGAGCTGCAACCTCAATTTCCTGTTCTTAGCTGACAAGAGTGGCACCCACTGTGCTCTTCTGCTGGTGAAGCCCATCTGCTTCAAGGTTTGATGTGTTGTACATTCAGAGATGCTCTTCTGCATATTTCCTTTGCAACAAGTGGATATTTGAGTTGCTGTAACATCAACGTCATTTTCACACAGAGAACTGATGCTCGCTGGATTTTTTTCTCTTTTTTCCAACCATAAAACCTTGAGATAATTATGTGGGAAAATCATAGTAGATCAACAGTTGCTAAAATACTCAGACCAGCCAAACACTATGCCATGTTTAAAATAATTTAACTTTCTTCCCCATTCTGAAGCTCAGTTTGAACTTTGGCTGTTCGTCTTGAGCATGTCTACATGTCTACATGCTTTGAATTGCTGCCACGTGATTAACTGATTAAATATTTGTGTTAACGAGCAGTTGAACAGGTGTAGGTAAGAATGTGGCCAGTGAGTGCATATTAACTTATTGTTGGTAAAACTGTTTTACACAGAATAATAGATAATAGATAATCAACCATAAGCCAAGACTATGTTTGAAACCTCTGACAAGGACAACTTTTACTGCAGAGGATAGAAACACCTGTTTCTAAAATATCATCAGTGATGTTAAGTTATTAATTCAATTCATTAGTAGCAATGACTCAAAATCATCATTGCCGGTTCTGAGTGAGAGAACTCAACACTTCAGACATTTATTTCTGTTCAGTCGGTGACATCAGAACAGATGTGCCTGATGTAAATGTTTGGCAGTTAAACCACTGGAAACAAGCTGTGCTGTGATCTCAGATTCATCCGACTCACATGAAAAGTTCTGTTCCAAAATAAGATTAATGCCATTTGGAGAAAAAAAGGAAAAAAATGAATGAGACATAAAGAAAAGTCAAGAGAAATTCTTCATACTTCTTACATCGGCAATTTTCCAAACTAAACCTTAGAGTCAAGACACATTAAATACTGTACAGATATATTATTTGTTAATTAAATACATTTAAAAAACATAGACGCTTTTAACACATAATTAGCACTTATAATATCTACTGTATGGTTAGAGCAGCTTATTCATACATCAGGATTGTGATAAGTTAACCCTGTGTTCACCATAAAGGCTTTTACACAATATTTATAGCAACATAAGTTAAACAAGAACGAAAACAGAACGTCATGTAATTGGCTACTGTTCACAATAAGCGTACCTACATGAACATACAGTACAGGTTTTGTTTGTAATAATACATTAAAGGCTCTTAAGCTGTATCTATCATTACAGAAAGTAGCTCACATCATAATGTGACATAACAAGAGTCATCAAATGAGGAGTGGATTCAGAAAACAAACAGCATGTTTAAGTGATGCATACTTAATTGTGTTTTGTATTTAATTAATACTGATTAAGTGAACTTTTCTGGAAATTAATTACAAAGCCAATAACCCATTATGACAAAACTGTTTCCCAAAATCCGAATTTGGCTTTAACCTTACACAACTGCAATTAAAAGTCTAGACATAATAAGATGTGGGGTCAACTAAATTCAGTAAAATGGAAAATGTCTTAATAGTCAAATTATGTGCACATTCAATAATGACTTCATACATTCTGCTCTAAGACTAAATCAGAAGACGAGGCAAGATAACAAGGCAGCGCAATGAGGGGAAACTCATTAAAAACTTATCTTCAGTTCTCACTGCAAGTTCTCGCCTTGCTTCTCTTCTCTCACCTCCAACTCACTCAGATGAGTACACATATTACCCAGTATATACGTATATACACCACACATGAATGCAAACATGCACACATGAGCTCATACTAATGTAAGCATGAACAGTGAACAGTATTTACATGAGTGCGGACACACACGCCGGATCCAGACTTTAGTCATGACTCAGTAGCACTGTAAAAGTCATGCACATTCCTGCCTTTAACCACAAGAACTCACCACACGCACGCATGCCTTTACATTGGAGCACCAGTATAAGCGAGTGATTCAGTGAGCTGTCTGAGGGAAGAAAAAAAACTCAAACACGCACACACAGACGAAAAATAAAGTAACATAACATCCACCATGCCCCTCATTGTCATTTTCTCCCCTACACATTCTTCACTCATCTGCTTCCAGCACTCCTTTCAGCGGTTCGCTGCCTGGTTTGGTCACCTCAGCCTCCTTCAAAGCGCTGATGACTGGTAACCATGGCGATGGCAGCTCAGGTCCGCTCCTCTTGACCTGGTTTAGGTGGCTGAGAGCAGCGTACAGTCCGGCGTTGGTGCCGCCGTGCACACCTTGCTCCTGCTGTTCTGTGTAGTACATCTCCAGAGCTGCAGGGGTGCAGTGTTTCTGCTGTTAGAGGGAAATATACAAACAGCTTTGGTGTTTTCAGTATTACTCACACACTGATTTGACATCATCATCACAGAACAAAAGCTATCCTGAGTCAAGATAAACTGCAGATTTCCTCCACCTGGTCCAATAGGAAGCAATCTGTTTTATGACTAGGAAAGCACAGTCCATGGGGATAAAGAACCATTTATTTGCATCATATTAGTTAGATATTACAGATTCAATTATGACTGATAGTTTTCTGTGCCTGTTATAGAGTTTACCTAAAATAATGTTTAATTGTATTCTGATTTATATCCGTGCTCTTCTGTATGTTTCACCTTGTTGTTTCATTTTCAATCATGCGTGCAGCTGCTTTGAGCATTCTGGTTTTCTACAAGAACAACTTACAAAAATGTATTGAAAAATGGAAGCCAGCAGCTGTCATAGGTTACTGTTTGTCTTTGCACTTTTGGAAGAAGCTTCTGAAGCTTGAGACAGTAACTAAGTAATCCTGGGTCGAATGTTGCCTGTTTTCACATGCAATGCACATCAAACTGCTGAGTGGAACATTTGCATTTCACATACATTAGGTGGGGCTGGAAAGAGTTAAAGTGTAAAACCATGTTTCAGTCCTGTTCAGGAAGTTGTATTACATCCACATGTAATAAACCACATACAGATTACTTTCAAATGCTGTTTCAGAGGCTAAGAAAACAATTTAAAAAACAATATATGTAAAAGGTACTCCAGATGATAATTGAGGCTTTTAAACATACAAGGAAGTATCAGAGTGTGAAGAACTTTTACAGACAGAAAAGTAATACAGTTGAGGGTGTTTAAATGCTTGGTGCACAAACATAATTAAAGATTCATATCCCCAATAAGCCTTCACTTGAGGCTAAAGCATCCTTCAGAACATCCTTAGACTCACATTTACCTAACAGAATTAAAGATACATATGAAATTATGTGGGTGAATTAAACCAAGACACTGAATGCCTGTCCTTTTATGGTTGTGTTTTGAAAAGGGCCCATGTAAGTGTCCCTGACCTTGCAAGTCTTTCCCTTAAGGAGAATCCACTACCTGACCTTCCCTAAAAGCAAGGAGTCAAGCCTCTGAAAAGCACAGCAGTGACTACACCACCCTCCACCTTCCATCCTCTTTTTATGTCTCTAACAACACATTAGTAGGGGGAAAAATGCTAAAAGCAACTGTAACCGGCAAAAACTTCAAAAGCTTTGCCGGAAGGTCCTCCTCCCATCCTCCCCCCCTTCCCTTCCTTGCTTCCCCCCCTCACCGTTAAGCCTTTAATCACAGTTTAGTCACGCTCAGCTCTAATTAAAGACCCCTACAATTCACAAGCGGGCATCCCAATCTCTGCCTGACCAGTAAGTAGGCTGTCACTCCCCTTCCTTCCCCCACTCTCTCTCTATCTACCCCACTCTCTCATTTTCCACTGCGAGACAGGCCCTTTAACTAACATTCGCGGTTGTGCTGATTTGGTGCACGATGCCTCCAAGGTGTCGTTTGCAGACGATGAGTTTGTGTTAGTCCTGAAGTGACTGAAATGAGAGTGTGCGGAGAAGAAAACACCAGACGAGCTGCACTGTAGCCTGTCGAAGTACTCCACGCAGACTACTTCCACAGTAATAAGTTTGTGATATAGAAAGATGAGACTATGACCTTCTTCAGCTGTTCTCTGCTATGCTGCAAGAAGATAATAGAACATCTCCGATAATTTTCTTTCCTTGAACCATATTAAAAAAAATATCACTATTTGTACATCTATGATTGTGTGTGTGTGTGTGTGTGTGTGTGTGTGTGTGTGTGTGTGTGTGTGTGTGTGTGTGTGTGTGTGTGTGACAGTATTACTCATATCATGAGGATCTGTCGGCCTTCTAAGAAATAAAAGCTTTAAAATATTTCATAACGTAAATTTTTACTTTGTAGGTTGAAGCTATAATTTAAAATTTAGTCATAGTTAGGAAATGAACATAAATCAGGGGAAGGATCTGACTTTGTGTGGGCATGTGTGCAGACACATGGTTACGAGACATGTGTTTATGCTAAGCGTGGTGTTTGTAAAATAAAGAAGCTCGCTGTGCACACATGGATACGCTGCCCACCTTCAAGATGAAACCCTCTGGGCAGGTAAGTTGGTCGTACCACATGGCTTTGTACATGAGCAAAAGGAGCAGGCTGGTCAGAAAGGCCAGAGTAATGAGGATCAGACCTGTGATCTGAGGAAAAACACATAGTTATACAGAATGTAAGACAATACTTTTCAGTTCAGTTTTATTTATATAGTGCCAAATTGGATTCCACCTATGTCTATGGCCTTTAGCCACCAGGTGCTTTAGCTCCGGACACAGACTATATGTGAAGATGGTGACGTTTATAGCTCTGTCAAAATAGATGTTTCGTCTTTCTTGGTGCCTGGGTATAGCTGCTATAGTCTAAAAGGACCCACTGTGAAATTATCGATTGGACTACCATGTTGAAGCCTTCAGTTCGGCATTTTGACCACTGCCATTTAGATTTTTTACTTTTTTATAACCCAACATGATGAGCAAAGGAGTGGATCTAATTGAAAACCCGAGGACGCTATGCATGATCATACAGCTGTGACCTATCAATTGGAAGAAGAATAAATCCTGCTTATTGTAAATATAATTTTCAAAAGAAATATCATGGTGTACTGAAAAACACTCTAAATTAGTTACTGAGAACATGAACACATTATTTTGGTAATAAATCAAGTGATAATTGAAGTCATTCTTTCACAGATTCCTATTCAAACATTTCTGAAAGGAGAGGAGACAAAAGAGCCTTACAGCTCCTGTTTTCATGATATAATAGGTTGTTGATATGATTATTTAAGTTTTCTTTGAGAAAACACCACTAGCCACTTTCATATTAAATGAATGAGGCAACATATTACAATCTTTTATGGAGTTCTTGAGCCGTTTCAAATAGAATGAACAACTTAATTAAAGAGCTCGGCTCTACGCTTTTTAGCAATCAATACAGTGCATTTGCTGGGGACTACTTTCAGCCAGACATTAATACACATGAAATGCTCTAATGAGGAGCAGGCCATTGCACATGATGGATTCAAAACAGTGCTAGTGTTTATTAAAACAAATGCAAAGTCCACCAAGCACTGCTGGACTTAACAGAAACACAACACAGACTTATACATGTGTGAAGATTTTCACCCTTTACCTTGGCCTTCTCAGAGACATCACTGTAAAGGTTGATATTCAGCTTCTTAATGTTGGGAAAATACAGCTTGTTCTTCTTCTTCTGCTGCAGCTGGTACTGTGTTGACGTTTTCACAATGACCTGCAGCAGAGGGAATGCACTGTCACTGCGAGTTCCTGGAAAAATTCCTATTAATCCATTATGGTTGATCGAGGATGCCCTCAGTTTTCAGCACAGGTTCAGCAATCCTGCTACCACTGAACACCATGATGGTTGTGTAAAAAAATAAAAGCATCACTTGCAAAAGCAGATCATTTTAATGATATGTTAAAAACACATTTGGGAACTACAAAGTGTTTTTATGTTAATGTTTCACCATCATTTACTGAGCCTGTAGAACATCCTGTGCTGCTAAGAGCATTATCGGACAAAATATGATTCTGAGAGCTTTCTTCTTGTGTTATGTATTCAAAGAGGCGCTTGCATTGAGTGGGCTGGTGCCAAGGTTTTAACCTGGGATGGTGGGCAAGGAGAGGTAAATATAGCACTCTCGGCATTGGGGTTTAAGTGAGGACAGGTAAGTATGCCCACATGAATTTAAATATTGTTTGTCGTAATCTGTTGGGCATTTTTGCAATGCTGTAATGCGTGGTTCTGTTGCACCCAGTGTTCAACTTGGAAACAGTATTTTAGAAAACAGAAGTGGGCAGGCACAGAAAAAGAATAAGGTGGAGTACAATTTTACCTTTTCTGCAAAAGGTTGCTGGAGCTGGTTGACCTCCAGGGGTGTGATGAGGGGGATGTTATCAAAGCCATCGTCCGCAGATGGCTGCTTCTCCAGCTTATCGGACAGATTGCTGCCCAGCTTCACCATAGCTGCTCGTCTGTCTGAAAATGACCGGACGGATCTCGGAATCAGGGACAGATTTAGTCAGACTGAGTGTTTTTGTAACCAAATGTGATAGAGCTGCTTGAGGACCCTGCCAGGACACAAGAGGAAGTGAGAAGATAACAGTCTGATGAGGACTAATGGGCCAGGATAAGACAAATATACACTGCATCAAAAGAAGAAAGGAGCACGAAAATTAGTTTTGAGTCATTTTAGCAGCGCAGCTAAGATAAGGAAGTGTGTGTTGGTCTACTACTTTTGCTCAAAGCAAATTACAGCAATAATGACTGTACCGAGTGACATTATTTTATAAATATAAACATAATATATGCCACTGACTTTGCCAAAACAGCTATCAGATGCACTGCCATCACATCTGCTTCATAAAAACATGTAATCTTTGGCAATATCTTTAATTTGCATAGTGCCACGTTCAGGCCACTTCTAATTTTTACGACTAAATTAAAAACTAACAAAATCAATGAAATTGCCATAATGCAAAGCTGCACTTTGTGTTTAATATTAAATGCATGCTAAATTCTTGCTAAAACAGTGAATAATGCATTTGATAAATTTAAAAACACTGCTATTGTGAGCATAGCTTGCTGACATGCACAGAATAACAACCAGTGTTTGTTTAGAAGTTACGTATTCTGGCTAACACTATGTATACACGTATTAAATATTTTAAATTACTATTTCTTGGCGGGGAGCAGTGTAGACATTTTTACTCTTTCCGCTAAGCTACCCAACTGCCTATTTAACTAAATGTTCATAGTATATTCCTGGAATCATATTATAGCGCTTGACAGAAAGCAATTTAGCAGATTTCAAGCTATTTCTTGACTAACTGCCTTTTAAAACTGTCGACACACGACACGAATGGCTTTGATCATATTGTTACAGTCCGTTGTTGCATGGAAACCTTAGTTCCTGGCATTTATGGGCATGTTACTTTGGCATATACCACCCACCAATGCATTGTTGTAGATAAAGCACACTCCCCAACGGCAGCAACCTTCCCCAGCATGCCACACTGTAAAAACTGCTCAGTTTGAGTCTTTGATGAGAAACCCATCAAAGACTCATAACAACTCTCAATCTCGTCAAAGCACCTGCGGGGTGTGCCAAAATAAACCTCATCAACGGAAGTCACACTCAGTAACTCGTGGGACCCAAAGGATCTGCTGCTAATGTCCTGGTGCTAGACACAATATTAGGTTTGAATCTTGGGGCTGATCAGTGCGGTAATAGCTCGAGGACATACAGTATTTAAGTAACTCAGAGAAGCCAACTCTGTTTCCTGTTTATCCAGCCCAACAGTCTGGAGTAAACATATTTCATTATTACTCTGTATCTATGAATCTACTATCTATCCATCTCTTCCTCCAGCCTCTCACTTTTAATGTTTATAGCCAACATATGCAAACTTTATTCTCTCAGTGCTGTTCTGCTCAGATAACTGTCTGATTTCTTTTTCTCCTCTGACAATGAACTAAATGTGGAGGGAAGAGGTGAAGAGCCACTTATCTCATTCACGCATTGCAACACAACACCTTCCCCCAGCAAAGGATGCCATTGGCCCACTGATGCCAGTGACTCACAATGATGATACACACCAGGAGGCAAAGAGCTAGAGTTTGTATGCTGCTGGAGAAATCCCCAGTGCTCAGGAAATGTGTTTTTGATGAAGGAGACAGAGGATCATTTACTAAAGCCTCTAGTCCGTCATCAAGTGGAAAATGCATATAAAAATATTTTTAACTATGTGACAGCCTTCTACCAAACATTCTCAGCATTTTGGAAAACAACAAAAAGCATTTGGATGTTTAAAATCTTTGTTAGGTAAGATCTTGACTGACTCTAGGGTATTACTCAAGACTACAACACATATTTCTTGATGAGTGGGTGGTTATAATGTGGTCATCTGCGCTGACCGCCATTTTTCCTCCCCACGGTTGGAGTGAAGTGCGGGTGCGATGATTCATCCTGAATCTGTGATTAACAAATGAGTCGAGTGCTGCTGTCAAACATTCAGTGTTCCCACACTCTGACAGGAAAGGAGTCCAGAAATTGAAGGAGCTGCAAATGACATCCTACAAATTCACAACCACGGCTTGTTTCAATCATACATACAATTATACTGTAAAAGATTAATGATTACTTCACAGTTCTATCCATCACCCATATCTGACACACTGAAGGAGACTTGAAGCTGTCTAAAGGTGAATACATGCTGTGCTATGAATAGGTAGCAGAGTGTTTGCTACCTGCGCCTGTCAAGTTCTTCAGGGTTCACTGGTCATGCATATCTAAACTTACTGCATTGAAGACTGCTGCTGCAAGATACACAGGCTGTGTATGCAATAATCAGAGACCAGAAATATGGATTGATAAAACACATTTCTGTGCAGTTGTGTTTTGAATTATTGGGCTATTTAAACAAATATTGCAAACTTATATTCTTATATTTTGTTCTTCCACTGTTTATTTTCTACATTATTGTTTTTAATGAACTGCAGACTTAATTAATACCCATAGGAGACGAGGGCAATCACAGAATTTAAGTGTAGCCTCTTATATAATGTGGAGGTATAGGGGAAATTGCAACGCATGTCAGTAACACATACAGTCCCATGGAGCACTCAAATCAAGATTTTATTGTTGTCCATTCATTCCCCAAAGAGGATGACAACC